GAAGGTCGCTCACAAATCCTAAAAAAAATTCGAGCCAATATAATGTACAGTAAGACTGAATAGGTACGTACGCATAACACGTGATGTTTACGACTTCGTTATAGTGAGCAACAACACGAGATTCGACAGTAGGTGCGCACAATATATTATCACATTATGTATTATGTAGACGGTCAAGAATCTATGCCACCTGTAGCATTGGGTCCTCCGCTTGATATGACGTGACCTTGTCTCGTCGGACACGTCTTCACGGCGATCACTGATCATAGGAGATCGAGACAACAATAATGTAATATTATAATATTATTATAATGAGCAGTAGCCGTGCATCGTCTCGGTGGCCCGGAACGAGAGCACGTCCGCCACCGCCACTGCCACTGAGCGTCGCTGCACCCCGAACACAATGTTGGTAGTCCAATTTTCTTCTTCTCGTTTTTTTTCTTTCTTATATTCATCTATTTTATTTTGTTGCTTTATTATTTCCACTGTTTTCGTCTTGGTCGGATGTGTGTATGTGTATACGCTGTCCGTTACACCGTTCGACGATTATAATATACCTGCGTGGCGATTATATTCTTTTACATTGTGCGCGCCCTCGTTCTTATTATTATTCTTCATCGACAGAGCTATATACGACGACCAATAATACGAACAATATAATATATATAATATATATTATATCATTATAGATATATATAGAGCGATCGTTGATGGGATCACGTCCACGTGACGGAGATGACACCCGACCGGCGGCGACGTGGGCTGTCGGGAAAAACCTACACGCCGGCAGCACGTGCGTGCCCAATCGGCTTTTCCGTCCGCGCTCGAGCCCCACCGCCCGCCGGCTCGCCGTAAACAAACACAAAACTCCGTACAAAAGGCGAAGGACCGATATTGTTATTATTTATTTATCCATAATAAATATATATATAAATGTACGAATGTGCTCATAGATTACAGTGAAAAGAAAAACCTACACACACACACACACACACACACACACACACAATATAAACACATTACAATCACGATGGTGTGACGAACAATTTACAGGCTGGAAAAGAGGTTCACGCATCGAGTCTCCCGTGTGCATTACACGGTGTGCGTATAGGTACAACAACTCGAGGCGATAGACGAAAACGAAAACTTATAACGAGTAAGATCGGAGGCAGAACTTCGGAAATCGATACGGTACGCAGTTGAGACGCAAAACGGTGTTTTTTTTTCTCAACTCTATATAAGCACACCGTATTCATCTTTTATATAATAATATATGATATGATATGACTTTTCGAGTGAAGTGTTCTACGACCCAAACTGTAAAAAAAAATGCCTATTCCGTAACATTATTTTAGATTCAATTTTTTTTTTCGTACATTGAATCCGACTTCCTCCGCTCCTACGTCATGTCATAAGTGCTAGAATACATTACTACGCGACGTTAAAGCGTTATGTTTCAACATGCGTTTATTGACCTTTATTTATATATCCCCGGATATGGCCGTTATGATCTGAAATTATGTTCTCAAAGTAGTTTATTTGATTGAAAATACATGCGGTAGAAATAGATAGAAATCGTGTTTAAAAATGCTTCGAATGTGCGCTCTTATTCCGCTTAAAATTATTATTCAGTGCGACTACGACGTGGTAACCTTAATTTGACGCAGTTTGAAAAATATAATTATATACGTATTATATTATTGTTTTGATGAGACTCAGTGTCTCAGTATAATATTATGTTAATATGTTTTGATAAATACATGAAAACAGAGTTTAATTTATACATTGAAAGTTTGTTATCTAACCAGGGAAGCTTTGTACGTTTTTTTAAAAGTTTTATTGCGTGTAAAATCTTATTTTCTTTACTTTCTACAACACTGTGCAGCATAATTATAATTATTGTTATCAGGTTTTTTCTTTTTTTAATAAATAAATCACGTAAATATTTGGATTTCAGAATCAAACACTGATGGTTTACTTATTCCTTGCAGTAGGCGGCAGGAGTTTAGTCATATAAATCTAGTCTACTGAATTTTTTAATATAAATTGCATAATGTATTTATATACTATACAGTATATAAAATATACACATACCTAGATCAGTGTCATTTTATGTTGATCCAGGTTTTTAATTTGCAAGTTGTTGTCGGTTTGCCACATTTATAAGCTTCAGGTTAAACGCTTACAATTTGAAGTATAAAGGTTTGTCGTCATATAGTTCAATATATATGTGAATATTTAAATTCAAAAAGAAATTATACAATCCGTTTTTAAGAAATTATTGTATCTATTAGAGATGTATAAAAAAACATTTTTAAAATAGGTAGGTATACTAGATGACAACTTACTTGTTAATCATCAATATTAACAATAACGCATTTTGTTTTTTGATACCTACTATTTGTAAATAATGAACATGGATTGGTTACATAATTACAATAGGTACCTATAGTATTATTCTACTATGGTGATAGTAGCAATCGTACCTACCAGTGACTAGGTGTACTGTTAAAAAACAATAGCCCACAATATTACTTATTATGTATTTGTCACACTGCAAAGTCATAACATAAATAAATTATGGTAATTTTATCACAACATAAAGTTAAAAAAAAACAGATAGGGTAGTCGCTCCACTGTATACCTAAATATATTAGTTATGTATGAGTGAGTGTACCATGTCTATCATTATTCATTACACTATCTCAACTGTGAATTGAGATAGTCTTATGGATACCTGTTAAATTTTAAATCGATGATTAATCATTGAATAGGAAAAACAAATCGAAGCGGAAACGGTCTGTGATATTTATAATGATATTATATTATAAATTGCTTTTTGTAGTAAGTACCGATTGAACTAATATTTTTCAAAAATAATTTGCATATAATAGCGTATTAATATAATACTTATAAGTTATAATATTATTCAAGAGGACCCTACACTCGCATGTGTGATGTGTTGTCTCTGTCTTACAAAATATGTACAACATATCAAAATTGTATCGTGTCTAGAAAATACTAACACAATATTATATTGTGAACAATAGTCTCTGAATTTATTCAATTTTGAATAACTTACAACAAAAAAACAAAATCTAATGTTTCTGGTTTACTTAAAAATTCCGGTTTTTCCTAATTATTTTATTTTGAAAAATACTGGAAAATCGACTCCTAAGTACAAACAATTAACAAAGTCCGATTTTCTACAAGAAGTCTGCCTTGGGTTTCTGCAATCTCTCTCAAAATGGAAGATTGAAGCAATTTTATTGCACCTGAATGTAAGGAAGGTCTACGACACACACTTGTACGTTGAAAATATTAATAATGTGTTATGTGTTAAACATTATGGATTCTTATTCAGACCCTATAATTCTGTAACATGATATGAACTCTATTTATTATCATTATTAAACAATCATATTATGCTATAAGAACTGATTTACAATAATGCCTAATGGATTTTACAAAATATATTGTAGGCACCTCCGCCATTTTTTGTTTGTATTTTTCCTATAAATAAAATACAAAACAAAAAGGTACATTTTTATATTTTGGATACAACTATACCTAATCGAACTATTTAAATAATATTAATCCGTATTTTAATACCTTTTGTATTTGTTATTTTCATTTACTTATATTGTCATAAACAAAGTTTAATATTTTGGTAAATTGATATTATAACTGTATAAATGCAACTACCTATTCTGTATTCATGATAGCCAGAGTCGATTTTGAAGAATACCAACATTTAATTTGATCACCTACATTAAATGACAAAGGAAACTTTAATATAATATGTTGGCCGAAATTCAAAATTAGAAAACAATATAAATCGTAATAAAAAAAAAGCAGTTACAGAACAGAAAAATGGATATCACCAACAGTGGCAACAGAGCAATAATAGTTTCTTAATAAAACAGTTGACCGATGGAAGCGAGAGAAATTATTGTGATGTAGGGATATTGAAATCAATTAGTAGTATTGTAGTAACATCACATTCACATAGGTATAAGTCCTTCTTTAAATATAGATTAATGCTTATATTAATCTTTTTTGGCATTGTGTAGTATTAATAATTTGTAAACTAAATTTTAAATTATATAAAGATAAAGTGAAATAATTAAATATTAAATAGATACTTTGAGTTTGCTTACATATAATTACTTTTAAAAATACAACAAAATTCAATTTTCGAATTAAAATTACTGATTAGTATGTATTTAATACTAAATATTATTATCACTACACTAAAATAGTAAAATAACTAGGTAGGCACATAATATTCAAACAGCGAGATATTTTTTAATATTTATTAATTTTACACTTTGGAAGCCTGTTATAGAAATTACCTAAATAAATTATAAAGTTCTTTACTCATCTCACCAGAACCTCCTAAACTAACCGATAGTCAATATATTTTTTCTATTATTTGACAAATTTATAGTAGCATAGAATAAACAATACTAAACTAACATTCTTCCGTAGTAATATATATTAATATAATGTATAATGTATATTTATTATATTATATAGATGGTTAGGACTTGATAAGTTATGATATTGTACATAAATATAAATTTAAATTCTTTTCTCCCTTCGTTCAATACTGTATAGTATATGATATTTGTACTATCACTTATCGCTTTGGAACAGCTACGAAAGGATAAAATAAAATAGTGTAAATTTTAAAGTATTTTACTATATTATAGCATTAACCATGTGTAATAGGTTTCACAATCAGTATCTTGAAGTTATCAATAATCTGTGTCAATGATACTTCAAATAATTCACAATGGATCTGTAACGATTGTACTTCCCTCCCCAGTCAAACAAGTACCGACGACAAGTTCAACCTCATTTTGCAAGAATTAAAATCTATCAAATCTAACCAATCCAAATCAGACGAAGCTCTAAAGGTTATCTCTTCCTCGGTTAAAGCGTTAAACGATAGAGTCTCGGGGCAAGCTAAAACTATGACGTCACTTAGTCAAGCGATGAACACCTTAAACGGAAATTTAAATACTGTAACCAGCGATGTAAAGTCGCAAGGTGCAATTATTGGAGGATTAAATACAAGAATCGCTGCAGTAGAAAAAAGCTTGTCCGAAACCGTGCATTGTAAACCACCTACTACTACTCCTCTTGCTCTGAATGACATTACTCATGAAATCCAGCTACGATCCCGTTGTGCTGTTCACATCATTATTCGTGGTGTACCTGAGTCATCTGTCAATACATCTGCCTCTTCCTCCTCAGCAGACAAAACATTTGTCAAAGAAATGTTGGATAAACTTGAGCCCAAACTGCCTGAAACGGTAATTCGCAAAGTTTTTAGGGTTGGAAAGATTATCAATGACAAACCACGACTATTAAAAGTAGAACTCACCTCTCAGGAGGAGGTGAACCATGTAGTAATATCCTTTCTACGTCTTCGCTCCAACATTCCTGACGGGTATTCCCAGGTATCTATCACCAGGGATCGCACACCCTCCGAAAGACGTTCAATTTATGAAGTACATCAGGAACTACGTGATAGACAAGAAAAGGGTGAATCCAACATCTCAATCCGTTACTTCAATGGATTACCCAAGATTGTCCCAGCCAGGACCAACATATCACACCAGTCAAAAAACTCAGAGAAGTAGCAGCCATACACATTAATAACCATAATTCATCATGTAAATTTTCTCATTTGTCTAATTTTAGCTGTTTTTTGCCTCTACCCCCCTCCAACCAATGTAATTTATGTATACATTCGTCTAGAACATACCACCAACTCCTTAAAAATGGTTTATTAAATATCCAACCCAGATACTCCCTCACTTCCAATCTAATTCACCATACTCTTGTAGACATACCTAATACTCCCAACAAAGCGCAGGTACCCATTGGTTTTTACCAAAACTGTAGGGGTCTTAGATCCAAGCTCACTATTTTTAAATGTAATGTTGCTGTATTTAATTATATTTTTATCTGTCTAACTGAAACGTGGTTATGTGAGAGTATTGGTGACAATGAACTAGGCCTGGAAAATTACGTCATATTTAGATGTGACAGAAATCCATCTACAAGTAGTCTACGTAGAGGTGGTGGTACTCTCATTGCTGTCCGTAAAGATATACGCTGCCTACGCATATCACCCTCCTCCACCAATGTTGAACACCTATTCGTTAAATTCTCTACTCAGAACATCTCATTTATTCTCTCCTCGGTTTATATTCCACCTAGCAGTACCTTAACCATATATGAATCTCATGTATCATCCGTTCAAACTATTGCTTTAGCTAATACTAACTGCACATTCTTATTTTGCGGGGACTACAACCTACCAAACATCTCATGGTCCAATGATAACTATGGTCTATTATACTCCTCTCCATCAAGTCACTGTCTTCCCGAAACCTTCTCGTATCTAAATTTCTTCCAGCTAAATAACGTGTCTAACAATCAAGGTAAACATCTTGATCTCGTCTTCTCTAACAACAAAAACATATACATCGATAAATCTTCATCTAATGTCGTGCCCTCCGATTCTTACCACCCTGCGCTTGACATCTCTCTTCCAATTTTAACAGATACTCCTTCTCTCGATAAGTCACATACCTACTTTAACTTCAGGAAAACCTCATACCCAAAAATACTTAATTTTCTAAACTCATTCAACTGGCCTGAAACCATTAACAATCTTAACGTAGATTCAGCCACAAATGCACTTTACGATGCCCTCCACTCTTCTATCCTACAATTTGTACCTAAGAACAGATACGTTAAGTCCAAGTTCCCCTCCTGGTTCTCAAAAGATCTAAAATCCATTGTTCTCGCAAAAAAGAAAGCACACGCGGTCTATAGGTCCTCCAATAAGCCACTAGATTACACTCACTTCTCTAACCTCCGTGCACAGTATAAATTTGAATCAAAACGCTGTTATAAAGCATTCCTAACACGCACCGAAAATAACTTCATAAACAATCCACGATCATTCTGGGACTTTGTTCGTAAAAATAAATCTAACAGCGATATTCCTGAAAATGTATACTTTGATGAATGCACTAGTTCTGGTTCTGTCCCCGTCTCTAATTTATTCTCATCCTATTTCAATTCCGTTTTTACTGCCCCTTCTCCTGTCTATCCAGATGACTTCCCCTTCTTATATTACGAATTGCCAAGTAATTGCAATTTTAGTGTAGCTGACGTTGAGGCTGGTCTTGCTAAATTAAAGAATGTGAATTCCACTGGGCCTGATGGTCTACCAGGTACTTTCTTATATAACCTTAAGTCTTTTCTATGTGTTCCTCTATTTCAGATATTTAGGCGTTCTTTGGACGAAGGTATATTCCCGTCGATCTGGAAAATAAGCTCAGTTACTCCCATTTTCAAGTCTGGTGACAAATCGAACGTTAGAAACTACCGACCCATCTCCATACTAAGTCATATAGCGAAATTATTTGAATCTCTAGTTTTACTTAACATACAGCCATCTCTTAATTCAATCTTAATTGATGAACAATATGGTTTTAGACCAGGGCGCTCCGCAGCTATGAACCTAACTGTCTTTAACAACTTTGTATTAGAAGCATTCGATAATAAATCCCAGGTTGATGTAATCTTTACTGATTTCGCCAAAGCCTTCGATCGAGTTGACCACAACTTCCTTTCCGAGTTTCTCTACAAATCTGGGTTTGGCGAACCTCTTCTGTCATGGTTCAAATCTTATCTGTCCGGTAGATTCCAATTTGTAAAAATCTATGGATGTAAGTCTGAGGTCCTTCCTATCACCTCGGGAGTTCCCCAAGGTGGCCATCTTTCACCCGTTCTTTTTACATTATTCATCAATGAAATAAAAAAAATCATCCCTAATTGTAATTTCCTCGCCTTTGCTGATGACATTAAAATTTTTCGCCAAATTGAATCTACGGAGGACTGTCTTGCACTGCAAGTCGAACTCAATAATCTAGTTATATGGATAAACTCTATCGGCCTCCTCTTAAATGTCAGCAAATGTCAATCAATGTCTTTTTATCGCAGCAAAAATGTCATAGTTCACAACTATACCATCAATGATACTGTGCTTGAATCTGTTACAAGTAAAAAAGACCTAGGGGTTCTTCTCACCAGTAATCTTAACTACCACCCTCATCTTCAATCGATCGGTTGCAAAGCATATAAGATGTTAGGATTTATAAGACGTGTTTCATCCGATTTTAAACTGTCCCTCTCATTAAAAACTCTCTATTGCTCTCTAGTCCGCCCCTTATTAGAATACGCTTGCGTACTATGGGATCCCTACACTGCATCTGACTCATTAATTATTGAGCGTGTTCAGAGGCTCTTCCTCTACTTTGCAGCTCGTGTCCTGAAAATCAACCACCCTATTCACGACTACACACCTGTCCTACGTGAACTATGCCTAGATACCCTAGCTGACAGAAGAGCTAATGTAAATCTTAAATTCCTTCAGCGAATTATTGATGGTACATATGATGCACCTACTCTCCTTTCCTGCATAAAATTTCGTGTACCTCAACATTCCACACGTTCCACTGCACCATTTGTCATCCCCTTTCGTACCTCCAATTATAGTCGCAATCGCCCCATGGACAGGCTAATGCGTCTGGCAAATGAGTCTACCACCTTTTCTTAGGTTAGTTCTAGTTACCAACACTGCTACAATCCTAATTATACTTTATTCTGTGAATTTTTTTTTTTTCCTAAACTAATTGTATAAAAAAAAAAAAAAAAATGTTATAATGGTGTTTCAAAAATTGCTTTACCTTTGTTAAAATTGCCCTAACAGGCGTTGATTAATTAATAAATAAATAAATAAATAAATAAATATTTTGATTCATTGAGATTTGAGTCGTTTAGTAATTAGTACCAACTATAATATTATGCTTTTAAAAGCTATTGTAGCAATTTATTTATGTCAGTCATTTTCTATCCATCATCTAAAATCTAATAACTATTATTTGTAATCATAACTATTAAACTATTGTTACTTCATAGAAGCATTAGCTTAATAATATTATTATATTATATTATCATGATTTGTTGAACAATTTTGAAATAAAATTCACATTTTAACTCTGCATAATATTACATTATGTAATTTTAACAAACATGGCAATTAATTTAACAATTGTACCGTTCAGGGTTAACAAACAATGGTCAAGTATGATTACATTGGTACATATTACCTATATTCTGCATTTATTTCATTACACAAACAATATTGATCGTTGTATTTTAAAAAAATACTATGGTTCTATTATTAAAAGATTATTTAGGTAGGTATTATGAATTAAATTCAACAAAATTTAGTGAATATATTATTTCCATTGTTTTTTATTTTATAATAAATTAATGCAATTAATATTATTTTTTATACGTAGGTACCTTAGTTTTTTTTTAATAGATGCGCAGAGATATATATTCAGAGATAAATTTTCTTTGTATTTAATTCTATGACTCTAAATGAAATAAAATATTTCTATTTGTTTTTTACCAAACATAGTTTTAAAGCTCCGCTGTTATATTTTGTATTTGTTCCATTGTCTAATAATACGTTGTACTACTCTATTAAAATATATTACTGACGTCTATCATTATAATATAGTAACTTCCAGTTTTCATTGCTATATTCCTACTTGTAACATGTTTTCTTATTAATATTTTCCATGTTACCTTATTTTTGCATCGTTGGGACAAAATCATTTATTATAATTTAGCCAGCAGCGAGCTATATTGGCCAAAAACAAATCCTTTTAATATAACATTCGAAATTATCATCGAAGTACAGCCGCGAGCTCACCGTTCACGTTTGTGTAAAAATATATTTCCACGATAGCATTAATTGTGGGTGGTTGGATGGATCATTCGAGATGAAAATGCAATCAAATTGCTTAATGCCGCAATATATAGCGAATAAGATGATAATATTTATCGGGAATTCACGAAGCAGTCAGCAGACTTGGTTTATCTCTGAATTCGGTATAATTTTACAAAATCAAGTCACAATCTCATGGCAAAGTTGATAATATAATTTGCCCTTAGGTACATAATGTTATTATTGCAATAAATCGCACGAATTGTGTGGCCATGATAATATCAATTACGAACCAACCGTTTCTTTAAGTACGTTATTACGATTTGTGGCTTATTCAAATCTAGTTTCACCGTTTTTATAGAAAACCATAATATACATATATCAAGACGTGAGTCAACCATTCTCGTTTTGCCAAAATCGGTCGGCAGCGGAACTCGCGAACCGCACAAACAGCTGGCGCGATAAACCTATACGACTGCCGTCGCCGCTCACCCACCTGTTTCTTCATAATATTATAATATTATATAATATTATTATAGGTATATATAAGTAAACGTGAAGTTTTATTTAGATGATGATATGACGTGTGATATATTATTATGCGTACGCCGTACTGATTATGCGAAACGTGATTTATGTAATAAACGGATATAATATACGTAGGCGATATATATAGGTACCTACGTATGTGTAAAGACGACGGGACGTCGCTGGGGTATGGCCCGGGCGGCGGATGGAGCTTTATTAAAGCACGTCGACAGCTCTCTCTTCCCGAAACGATATACAGAGATAGAGGGAAATATATTTATACACATATAAACA